AAGTACATGCTAATGATATATTATAACGGTAATTGAGTTTGTATAAGACTAATACTTGTCATTTTTATGTCGGATTTGAACCAACTCAATGGTTATTACTATGCCTAAAATGAAAGAATGAAAAAAAATTTACCCCATTTTCCTCCATATTTATTTGTTCAGATTTTAATAAATAAATAAATATTTATTGGCAAAACGGTGATTCTTTTTTCTTGGATTCTTAGAAGTAGTTTTGCCTTGTATAAGAATGATACTCGTTCTTTTTGTGTCAGATTTGGATCGATTCAATGGTTATTATTATGCCTTAAATGATAGAATAGAAAAAGATTAACCCGTTTTTCTCTAATATTTATTTGTTCAAATTTTAATAAACAGATAAATATTTATTGGTAAAACAATATCATTTTGCTAGAAAACGGTACCGTTTTGTTCAACCGCACCTCTGCAATTAATTTTACAACTGCAGAGGATCCTCTCCCCAACAAATCATACTATTTCTATCGTGATCGATAAATAGTTATATTTTGATAAAAAAAAATAATGTGGAGGAAATGATCCAGTGGCTCGATCCCGTTCCTATGGCCCTCATGGCCCAAGTCTGTTTTTCTTNCAAAAAAAAATAATTTGGAGGGAATGATCCAGTGGCTCGATCCCGTTCCTATGGCCCTCATGGCCCAAGTCTGTTTTTCNTAAAAAAAAATAATGTGGAGGAAATGATCCAGTGGCTCGATCCCGTTCCTATGGCCCTCATGGCCCAAGTCTGTTTTTCTTTGTATAGGGCTGCTGCAAGCAAAGGCCCAGTGTTGGGCTTTTTTTTGGGGGGGGTGTTAATCAAGGAAGTTGGGCTTTAGTTACCTCTTAATTTTGGATGCGCCTGGCTTCAGCCGATATAAACCACAATAACGGTGCACGTTAGCAACATTAGGAATGACCCACCACTTTGGACAAATCCACCCACTTCTCACGCGCAGATATCTTCCGGCTACGGCATGGCACAAGACCGCAGAGGCGCAGAGTCAGGAGTCATGCGGTCCCACAGAAGCTCACGCAGAGAAAACGCAGGATCATCACGATCCAACGGCCAATAACATCCTGATCCAAAAAAAAGGCAGCAACATATCTTGTGCGCACGATAACCCGGTGTAACCCTGGCGCGCACTTTAGCTACTCCTTGCTACAAAATAGATATCGTCCTCCATGGATGCGCTTTGCTCCTCCTTCCTGAACCCCGCCTCCCCCCACCCCCGCCTTTTGGATCTTTCCATATTTTTTGTTTGAAATTTTCAATTCAAATTTCGCACACTTTCTCGGCTTATTTCTCTTTCTCATTTCGAAGGTACATAATTTTCTATCTCAATTTCCCTTTATTATTTTCTCGTCAATCCGTCGATTTGCTCTCGGAGAAAATCAAATTTGCTGCTCACCGTCGTCACAGATCCATGGTAATCATGAACATTTCGTTTTTAGCTTCAGGTTGGGGGTTAGCTATTATTGTTCAAGCCCTAAATTGAAGTTAATGGATGGATACTGCGCTTTAATTTGATCAAATGGTGATTGAACTTGAATGATCGTTCCGACCTGCTAGATAGACATTGTTTCATCTCAGAGATGGTCATGAAGCATCGTCAATATGTAGACTTTCACTGATTTGGAGATTGTAGCTGTACACAAGAGATCGGTTCTCAAGTAAGTTCGTTTTAATGTAATTGAATTATTACTAAATTGTTCCTTCAATTGAACGTTTTATCGTTTGCTCATGTCGCTGTTCATATCGCTATCTATGCAAGGCAAGTTTGAGTACAATGGCCTAATTTTTGTGCGAGTAATGCGCGAATTAGTGTGTTAAATTTGCTTAGCATTGTGTAGAACTCGAAGACAGAATGTAGTGTACTTGACGTTGTTATAGCATATATATAAGTATAACCATTTAAGTTTTGATGTATTTAGATTGTCATACACACATCTTTTATATTCTGAGGTGTATTAATGGTTATGAGACAAACGATGTGGTTATTTTAGGAGCGTAAATGGTTTATGTGCTTTTAAAGATGGGAATGTAACCATTACATATTGATACTTAAAGGAACCTCGAAGGAGGAATGGTTCGTCCTTGTCCATCATAATTTCCAAAAATGCCCTAGTCATTTTTCTATTTTGTTTCAGTCAGATGTCTTAAGATTTTCTTTATGGAGTTTTTGTGGTGTTATTTTCTGAAATTGCTCGTTATTGCTTATAATACATGTCATTCCATGTCTTTGATAATTGTCACTATCATTTTTGCTCCTCTAATGCACTGAAATTTGTTACTTTTCATAATCAATCGAAATGTAAAATATGAACTGAATTTTGAGTGCATCAATGGTTTATATGCTTTTAATGATGGGAACACACGAGCAAATAAAAACATTGCATAGCGTTACTTAGAAGGTACCTCAATGGAGGCACGGTTCACCAATGGGACTTTGGTCCAATGGTACTCCTTATCTTGTAAAGGCTTTGTCTTGTTGAGATCAAAGATTCAAGTCCCCCTTTCCCCTCCCCTCCCAAAAAAAAAAAAAAATTGGAGGCACGGTTCATCCTCAACCATCATATATTCAAACGTCTTAAAATTTTTTAGGGTGTGCTTACGTTTTTTGTTTCTAAACTTACTCATTATTGCTTATAATGTACGTCCCTTCCAAGTCTTTGACAACTGTCACTATAGTTTTGCTCTTTTAGTGCACTGCAAGTTTGTTTACTTGTCACACTTTTATCGAATGCAAAAAAACTAACTGAAAAGTGCATGTCGTTCACTGCATAAAAGAAGATTATGACTTTACCAGTTCTAGCCACTAGTTAATCTTTAAGATTATTTTCTGATATTGTATAAGATGGTTGCTATTTCCCGTTCAGTTGCTGAGGAAATCAACAGTGAGGAAGTAAAAGCAAACTGATGTAGACAGCCCTTTTCTGTAGCTACCTAATGAAGTTCTGCATGGAAGTTTTACTTGCAATAATATAATAATAATTATTGCATCCAGATTTAATAGAGCTATATTTTTATTAGGGCACACCAAGTAATATGGTGAGTTCATTTGCCATTGTTGAACATTTATAGTTCTCTCAATCAGCTCATGCGTTTTCTCCTTCTTCATATGGACTCTTGACATATGAATAGATTCAAGAAAATAGGTGGTGCCGCACCTTTGTTACAGTTTTTGACTGCTTTTACTGGGCTATTAATTCTTACTGTGATTGAACTTTTAATCTGCAGTTGCTGCATCTGAAGTTTCATTTACCTGTGGTAAAGAATGCCTGAGTTAACAGGTGCAGTGAAAGAAACTTCTGAAACTGGTACAGATTTCTCTCCAGATGACAGTGGCACTATTGAGGAAATGCCTGAGGACACGATTTTGTCACGCCAGACTTCGGTGAATCTTGTCCCGTTCATTGGCCAGAGATTTGTCTCACAGGACGCTGCCTACGAATTTTATTGTAGCTTTGCAAAGCAATGTGGCTTCTCTATCAGACGTCATCGTACCCGAGGAAAAGATGGTGTTGGTAGGGGAATTACAAGAAGGGATTTCACATGCCACCGAGGTGGCTATCCACAGCTAAAACCATCAGAGGATGGAAAGCTACAAAGGAATCGAAAATCATCTCGTTGTGGATGTCAAGCTTATATGCGGATTGTTAAAAAAGCAGATTTTGATGTTCCAGAGTGGCGTATCACAGGTTTTAGCAACATCCACAATCATGAACTCTTGAAGTCAAATGAGGTACATCTGCTGCCTGCCTACTGCACGATGTCTGCAGATGACAAAAGTCGAATTTGCATGTTTGCAAAAGCTGGGATGTCAGTACGACAAATGCTAAGGTTAATGGAGCTTGAGAAGGGTGTTAAGCTAGGTTGTTTACCATTCACAGAAATTGAAGTGAGAAACTTGCTTCAATCTTTCCGAAATGTGGACCGCGATAGTGATGCTATTGAGCTTCTTGAAATGTGCAAGGAAAAGAAGGACAAAGATCCCAACTTCAAATACAACTATAAGATAGATGCTAATAACAGGTTGGAGCATATTGCCTGGTCATATGCTTCATCCATTAGGTCATATGAGGCGTTTGGGGATGCCATAGTCTTTGATACTACTCACCGCTTGGATGCTTATGACATGCTTCTAGGAATTTGGATTGGAGTGGACAATCATGGATTAAATTGTTTTTTCGGTTGTGTGCTTCTTCAGGATGAAAATATGCATTCTTTCTCTTGGGCATTAAAGGTGAGAGGCGTATGAGCATTCACTATGGGTCTCAAAATCTTCTCTTACTCTGAATTTTCACATTGTGTACATGCCTCTTAGAAATTATTTTAGACCTTTTACCCTACTGAGAGCCTCACCTCTTTTCTGGGGATATCTTATGTTGCACCTTGGCATGCCTTGTGTAAGAAACAAAGAAAATCTCAAACGGCTTGCCTAGCTAAATCCTAATGAAGTTTGTGAGTAGGAAGGAGTAGGTCATATCCTGTATCCTAAGATGTATTTTGTTCATGAATCATGAACTAACAGAGTTAAATTCATTTGGTGTGATTGGGTACTTTTCCATTTGCTTTTGTTAACTATTCGATAGTTATGTTTGGTTTGCAGACGATTGTCTAAATCTACTACTTGGTCATTTTTAACATTCAGGATTTGAAAACTACAAGATTGATTGCATCAGACACTTATATTTGTGGGTTTGTGTTATATATGTGTGTGCTGTAATTTTTTCTTTCCAGATCTTTATCTGAACAACTTGATGAATATAATTCGAAGCACAAAACCCTCAATCCCACTCCCCGCTCGATAAATATATACCAATGGCATGATATCTCTGAGTTCCTGTTTCACCATTTATCTGTTTTTAAAACCTATCGAGGTCGTGATCCGAGTCGGTTCATAGGATGGCATGCAACGGTTCCATCGTATGCTTAGTCCCTTTGTAACACTCTTTTTGCAACCAATTGTTTTTTATTTATTTGTTTGTTTTATATTTTATGGCAGACATTCTTGGGCTTCATGAACGGAAAGGCTCCAGGAACAATTTCAACAGACCAAAACATGTGGCTCAAGGAAGCAATAGCTATTGAAATGCCAAGGACCAAACATGCTTTTTGCATTTGGCAAATCATTTCAAAGTTTTCTGATTGGTTTTCTTTACTACTTGGGTCCCAATATGATAGATGGAAAGCTGAATTTCATCGGCTTTATAACTTGTATATGGCAGAGGAATTTGAAGTGGGATGGAAAGACATGGTTGATACATATGGACTACATGGAAATAAGCATATCGTCAGCTTGTATGCCTTGCGTACATTTTGGGCACTACCTTTTTTGAGATCTTACTTCTTTGCAGGAATGACGAGTACATTTCAATCAGAGTCAATAAATGCTTATATCCAATGCTTTTTGAGTGCACAATCTGTACTTGATAATTTTGTTGAGGAGGTATGAAAGTCTTGCTTGCTCATTATTTCTTGATGTATTTTGTTTGTTTTACATTGTTACAAGTGCCTGTTTTCAGGTGGTTGCAGTTGTAGATGCTAAAGTCCAACCCGGAACAAACCAAAAGATGCAACGGAAGGTCCAGAAAGTCTCTCTCAAAACAGGCTCACCAATTGAGGCGCATGCTGCTAACGTTCTTACACCATATGCCTTCTGCAAACTACAGGAGGAACTTGTGTTGGCACCACAATATGCATCACTGATGGTAGATGAAAGCTACTTTATTGTGAGACACCATACAGAAATGGATGGAGGTTGCAAAGTACTATGGGCTCCTCATGATGAGTTCATTAGCTGTAGCTGCCACCACTTTGAGTTTTCAGGCATCCTCTGTAGACATGTCCTTCGTGTTCTATCAACAAACAATTGTTTTCACATTCCTGACCAGTATCTACCCATCCGTTGGCGTGATATCACTTCATCTTTGACAAAGCTGGTCCAATCTTCTACTTCACAGGATCAGTCAGGGAAAGTCCAGTTATTGCAATCCATGGTTTCTACACTGATTACCGAATCAATTGAGACAGAGGAACGCCTTGACGTTGCTTGTGATCAAATTGCTTTGGCTTTGACTCGTGTCAAGGAATTTCCTGGGCCATCATTGCACGGTGGTAATGATATTGCGTATGATAGTCCGTCTGACTCATTGATTCTTCCAGAAGTTGAAGACTCTGATAGCATTGTGCAAAGTTTCACTAGGAATTCTCATGAGACTCTAGCTTTAGGAAAGCTGAAAGAGAGAAGATCAAGAGATGGGGAAGATATGTACAGGAAGAGAAGGCGTTGCTCTGTGCCTTGCTGTGGGCAGTTTGGACATGATGCTAATGATTGCCCCATGATGGGAGGTGACGTTTTGAATGGGGATGGGCTAGGTTTTTATAGGTAACTCAACTGCTGGGTGAGGCTAGATGTATGAAGCTCGTTGTCCATGTCCATGCACCCATGTAAGAAAACTTCCATCGTCACTAATGCAATCCCCCCCCCCCTCTCCGCTCCTCTTTTTTTTTTTTATCATTTAGCTCATTTTCTGAATGGACGTCACAAACAAACTCAGAACACATCTGGGATATCTTATAGTTTGTCTCCATCCATTCATGACAGCAGAACAGTTATGATTGCCTGGACTTAAGGGGAAATACTTACCTGTAGAACCTGTGGTCATCTTGTAGATCATGACTGGCTGATGAAACCACATCTGTACTGGAAACAAAAAAATGAGTTTTTCATTAATGTCTTTTGCAAGTAGGTGTGAGTGCTTGATGCGTGTTATGTTGGATAGAATTTGTTGTACATATTGCAGTCTTGTGACTTATTGTTGGTAGGTTTAAGCAACCGTTTGATTGTTTCCAGTAAGAAATGGTGGAAAGAAGTAAATAGGTTTAGTGTGATCCGATGTTATTTTGATAAAGCTACTTAATGCAATATATGCATCCTAGAGAAGAAGCATTCAGATTGAATTTAAAAAACAGGTGTCCTATCAGAGTAAGAAAATAATTTGTATTTATCTACCTTAGTTTGTGGAATAGGTTTGTTTGTTCTGATTAATGGACTAAGGCCACTCATTTGTATTTAGATTCTATGTTTGGATTTGTTATGGCTGTTCTTGGCATCTCTATTGGCTGCTAAAATGAGAGGCAAAATGATAGTTGAATGCTGGTACCTTCAGCTAAGTTGGAAGTGGAGCTATGAAGCCATCAAATTCACTGGAATTGTAATTGTTCTTTAACCTGAGGTGTGTAGTTGTCACTTGATTACCATGTTTCTGCCAACCCTTTCTTTGGTGCATAACTCTTTCACCGTTGTGTATTTGCCTTTTATATCATGGTATGATTGCATATACCTTAGAATTTAACTGCCACATTCATTTGGCAGTGCGTCTCCTTTTATGAAGCATCATAGTTTTAAACAGCCCCAGTGATAATGATGTAACATCGTGATACTACACTGACAATGTTGTTTAACTTTTTGAGATGGTTGTTAGGAAGATATTCAAGTTCCAGGGAATGCAGAATTAGCAGGTATGGATCATATTAAGGTACTTCGCAGTCTTCTTAGGCCTCATTTTATAGCATGTCAAGTAGTGATTGTGGTTGTGTGCAGGAAATGACTGATGACTTTGTAATTTGCATCAAACAGCTGGACTGGTTGCTTGTATATTGTCATGACATTCAAACTTTCGTATACTGCAAATATCTATTCCTACGCATTTTCTTCTCTAGTTATGACTTCTCCATGAGAATGTGTATTGCTTTCACTTGTTTGCTTGCCATGATTTCTCCATCAGGATGCATTTCTGTTTATCTGGATGGACACAAAGATGTTATGATTCTCTGCCGAATGTAAAGAAGCTAATCAAAGACATCGTAAACTATTTAATGTTTCTAATGATGAGGCTTTGTGTGATTGAGATAGTATATATGGGCACGTATTGATCATACACACCTGTATTATAGGGTTTAGGGTGGATATTCAGTCATTTTGCTTCTTGGTGGCCTGCTGATCTTTCATTGGTTTGATAGCGCTTAGGGCTTCAAAAATCTAAATCTTCATCTGAAAACAACCATCCTCTCCATATATCCCTCAACCTTCATTCCTTTGCTTTTCTTCCAAGATCTTTCGCAATCTGTCTTTCTAGCTTCTGACCTACTCCACTCTATAGATCTGGAAGGCAATGTTCTTTCCCGGTTGTATATCAGTGTTCTATTTCCCGGCGTCTTTAATAGACTGTGTGGCAAATCCTGGCTTCAACATAGCTCACGGGTGGTTTGTGGATGGCAATGTAAAAACTTGAAATGACAAGATAATGGGGACTTGGGAACAAACCAGCAGACAGAATATTTATTTACAGCCAGAAACCTTGTAGTTCGAAGGTTTTATCATAGTCTCTAAGCTGCAATCAGTTTTTGTGTTTGCGTGGCTGGCACATAGAAATTCTTGGGTTTTAGCATTGATTCTACTTAAAACTTCCTATTCCTGCTCTTCCTGGATCAATCGTATCATTGTGCAGATTATTTTTCAATTGTTTCTTGGGTCCAAAATCTACACTGTATCCTTTCTGTTCAGGTCAATGAGATATTTTGCCCTCGCAATTCCAAGACATTACTAATGTTTGTTGCACAACTTTCACTGCATTTTTATCCATTGCCCTTCTGTTTATTGTACCTGCATTTGTCAGCCTGGTCATTGAAAGGTCATAGGAATGCCAAGCATTTTACGTGTTCGAACCTTCAACGAAAGAGTACTTGTACCTGAAACCGACACAGGTGGGTAGGTAGAGAATACCTAAGACACAAGACAACTCTCTCAAAGAAACTCAATAAAATAGCCTGTAACTTCAGGAGAAGGGGTTCCTCCTCACAAAGAGGATCGTAGTGACCTGGCCCGGGTGACTATTGACTAAAAACACAGGTGATGCCCCTAACGGTTCGATTGAAAACCATTTTTCTTTCGCTTAATCTATTTTTATTAATTTGGATGGTGGATAGAGTTCATTTTTTTCATTTGCAGAAAACAGTTGGCTCCTTCTTTATACAAACCTCTTTGTCACAGGAGCCAATGCATGTATATAGTGTTGGAAGCTTCAGTATGTGTGAGAAAATTATTGTTCGCAAATGTGTTCATGCTCGACTAGGCAGACACGTCAAAAGCATGTATGTATGGCTCTCCTATCATTTTCAGACAGATCTAGCATTCACTTTAATTATGCAAAATAAGTTTGCTGGTTCCATTTTCTCTCTCTTCCCTGATTTAGCACTTTGAAATGGCATATATTCTTGTCTTGATGGTGAAGGTTTCATAGTTCTAAGATCTGATCTAATGATGCTCAGTAATAGAATTACAGATCCATGGCAATTTATGTGATTGTTAGGAAGATGACATAATCTTGGCGCATTTTTGACATCCTACACTTTGACAAACACAACATACTTCGTTTAATTTTCTGTTTCATCAGCCAATGAAACTCTGCTTAGCCTACTCTTAAGCATTCTGACATCATTGGTTTTAACCTTTCTGCTCCCACGACCACGGCTTGAACCATAAACTGCTCTTCGTGCAATCGCTTTCCCCAAGTAGTATTCAGCTCTTTCTTTGCTGGTGGGCAATCTTTCAGCAGAATTGTCTTGGTTGCTGCCATTGTAGGTGCCTGAACCCTCAGCGACCGACTTTTCGGTAGCCATTTTTACTCACATGTAAGTGTTGGTAGTTGTTTAAAGGGAGCGAGAATGCTAAGATGGGTAGAAGACTTGTAAATGACTGGATTTATATGGCTTGCATAAAGTAAGTTTTATGGGCTAAAAAACCATTTGGAGGTTACGTCAGCCAATTGTGGTGGGATTAAAAGATAGGATTGAGGAGTTTTGAAGCAAAGTTTCCTGTGGCCGAAAGGGCACTCCTTTGCTAAAACTGTTTACGAATCAGAAGATATACATAATCTTTTTTGACAAGATATTGATTATACTAAAGCAAGTGGTTCGAGTTTATGAAGGCCCTTACAAACCCTTATCATTATTGTTTTACTGATTAGTGGATTTTTACTGTTTTGTCATTAGTACTTTTGAAGGAGTAGTTCATTTTGAGTAAAATATTTGTTTCAAAATCCTAAGTGTAGGTCAAAAGGTATTAGTAACTAGTGGTAACATGGACGAGTTGTATATTCAGATATCTTAAGTTTAAAATTTGACAATCCTTGAGGCCAAGCTATAAAGGATTTATTCTCGTGAATATCCTTGTTCTAGTGTGGATAACCCACTTTTGACCGAATTGGGGAGAGGATTAATCGAAGTGAATGTAAATTTAACCTAAATATCTCTAATTGTTGAACAAAAATATATATACATATATATATTTGTTGCTAAGATGGCAACACGTCATTATTAATATATGATATTACTAAATGAGTAATGGTATTAAACTTTAAAAATCAATTTAATAATGTGACAGTGATGTGATTCGCCAATAATTTTTAGACTTATTTATTGGAACTCCAAATTAGTTTAATTTTTAAAATCCTAATAGCATTAGCCTTGCTAAATAATGGCAAACGACCACATATGACAAGTGAGTCCCACTGAACTCAGTAACCACTAATATAACTAGTAACTACCGCTTTAGATTAGTCAGTAAGATTATATAATTGTTTATCCTTATTGATCATGTATTAACGATGACGTGTGACCAATATATGTCATTCTGGTGTCTTACCTGAGAAAGGGCGCGTCGACAATTATGAGATGGAATCAAGTTGAAATAGCACATTGGCTTTAGAAGTTATTTTACGTGATCTCAAACGAGCTTCCCTGAGTTTTAGGAGAAATGAAGTCCAATTATCTTTATTTCTATGTAATCCGCGATATGCTCATTAACTAATAAAGCCAAGCTAATGCAAAAATTGTACTTGGTTAATATAAGCTTGAGAATGTGTTTAACCTTTTTAGTGATTTACCTCATGAGTTGAACCCAAGCGGATTTGTGACTCGCTATCATCCAACATTCACACGAGCATATTTAATGGCATAGAGAATTCAAATGATCTTACTAGTCAGTGTGAACTGAGTTTCACTTTTGAATGAAAACTAGTGTACCTTTTCCACTTTGAACCACCACTATACGACCATAGAAGCACTTTTTCCTATTCAAGAGAATCGATTCCTTATCTCTACTCTCAACACAACCAATCTATTCTTTACATGCCCGCAAAACATACACACGCATGCACGCAGAGTTCAAAGAGAAAGAGACTTCAAACAGAAAAACAAATAAAGCCAACCGGGAAAGGAGAACATCAAAGAGGAATCGCACTATACTTTGCCGCTGCTTATACCAAAAGTCAGGGTATTGCCATATTTTCATTACCTACTTATCTTTGTACGATATGCCACTAGAATTAAATTCCAAATAGTACAGCAATACAAAATGAATCAAATTCAAAGAACACGGAGAGAAAACCATTACCCGCCTGAGCCTTGCATCTTCATTGCTGCTGTACAGACTGCAGGACAAACCAGGGAAGAAGAGTAAGTTTATAGTTAATGACTATAGGTCTGAGTAAATTTTTGATGAAGTCATTACACATATCCAGTTACTGTGATAATATCAAGTAATCCAACTAAAATCTGACCATTTCCCAAGATTTCTCAGATTGTTGATCTTTCACTACTTGAACAAAAAACTGCAGTAAGGCTCTGGGAAGAAAGAACACTATGCTGATGTCTAGAGATGTCTCATTATTCACATGGTGAGCACAAGGGTACATGTCAGCAACCTTATAGCCGCATATAGATTCGTTTCATGTGGAGGAATCCAGAAACAAGACCCCAAAATAAAATCTCAAGCAATACAAAAGCCAAGGTACCCCACTTCTTTGATTGAAGGATGGCCTGCAATAGTGATTCAGTGCCGTCAACCTGCAAGCCATGTTTTGTTAAAAGTTAGGCCATCAACACATTATATGCCTAATTAACTACAAAGGCATGCCAAATGAAACAAAAAAAACTAAAAGCATCTATATTATTGGCTCCATATTCTAAACTGAGCAAAAATGGCAAGTCATCCTTAGACAGAGAAAGGAAATATCGTTCAATCCAAAAAAGTCTAGTTTAATCGTTCATCTCCTTACTAAAACAAAAGGTACAGTCTAATCCAAATAAAAGTTAAATAATTAAATGTTCTCATTTTAAGAGGATGTCTATATTAAGCGTACAGCTTAACAATCTTTAGTTTTTCCTTGCCAAATGAATATTAGTTTCTTTTTCAGCATTTCCAAAAACGTGTCAATATTTTTGGCTTGCCTCAAGGAAATCCATGGTGGCAATTCTTGCTATCAATTTATAAAGTAAGTCAATTCAAAATACTTTTAGGGATTTAGATTTCACCATCAATTTACTCCTATTACTCCATTCTATTTCTTGTCCTTAGCAATAACATTGATTTTGAGGGCATTTGGAATTTAAAGACTAGTGATGTTGAGAAGTAATCAATAGAGATAACAGTGAAAAGCTATAACATTAAAAACCAGAAGCCCAGGAAACAGGAAACTACCAGGTTGTTTTCAGGTGAACGCCAATAGAAACCTTGCAAGGCAGCTGGAAAGAGGTCACAAGCAGCCAAAGCATAAATAACGAGAGCATTCATCCCCATCCACTGAAGCACCATTGTGGGCTTTCTAATATGCTTGACATCAACCTTCAGCAAACATAACCAAATATGAGCATACAAATCTTCCTCCGTTGTCTCCTTGTCAATGATTTGGTAGTCTCTCACTCATCTCACATAGTACTCTTAAATATAACCTAGCACTCAGCCAAAAAACAGAAATAAATAGGAAAAAGACAGCCATCCCAGATTTCTGACATATCCATCCTTACGTCCAATTTTGAGCACCCTTATCATTGCTGGCAGAGACATGCTCCATCATTGCCTAGATGTTCGAAACACGCACTAACAAGTGAAAGGATCCAATGTTACTAAACACATATAATGAATTCAAGCAAAAGAGATGGGGTCCTACAAATCCTTTGCTTCTCATTATCCATAATTACACTTTTCCAGGGTCACACAACCTTCTAGTATAGAATCCCACCTCTTGATTAGCTCATTTTTTGAAACAAATGAGAATAAATCTTCAAGGGGATGCAAGAGTCAAGGTTTGCAACCATATTATTTCTAAAGCTCAAACTTTTGAGTTAGTTCAACTAGAAAACTGTGCTCCTGCTCTCGCATACCTCAGCGTACAAAAGAACTCAATGCAACAAACTACCTTCAATCCTGCAGTCGCCTATTTGGAGAGAGTGTGTGGCAAAAGGATGACCGCCTGATAACTCTGTGCCTAAACTAAACAACAGATGGGCATAGAATTCTCATATTATCCTTACAACTTATAGGAGAAATTTAAAACACCAATGTGATAGNGCAACAAACTACCTTCAATCCTGCAGTCGCCTATTTGGAGAGAGTGTGTGGCAAAAGGATGACCGCCTGATAACTCTGTGCCTTAACTAAACAACAGATGTGCATAGAATTCTCATATTATCCTTACAACTTATAGGAGAAATTTAAAACACCAATGTGATAGTATAAACATGGTGCTCTCTCTACCAAGAGAAAAATTTAAGGAGTAGAAGTCCAATAATTTCAAGGCAGAAGGCACTAAAATCCTGAAACTCTAAAAAACATTGGACCTACATATATGAAGAATTTATTAAATTGTTAAGGTAATTATAAAGAAAGTCACAAGAAAACTTCTTCCAAAAATAGAAGGGAAGCTTCAACATATTATCTGAAAGAAAAGATTTATAAAAAAAAGGGNGTCCAATAATTTCAAGGCAGAAGGCACTAAAATCCTGAAACTCTAAAAAACATTGGACCTACATATATGAAGAATTTATTAAGTTGTTAAGGTAATTATAAAGAAAGTCACAAGAAAACTTCTTCCAAAAATAGAAGGGAAGCTTCAACATATTATCTGAAAGAAAAGATTTATAAAAAAAAGGGAAGTAAAAAAAGAAAAAAGGAGGGGGATAAAGGTCAATAAAGTTTGACAACATGATGATGGGATTGGCTTGAGATCACACCTTTTTGATCTTGTCTTGAATTTTCCCAATTTACTAACTCCTATAAAAAGAAAATACTGCACTGCCAAAAAAAAAGTAGCTTACAATGTAAAAAATGATGGTCAATAGAAGGCCNTAGACGAAGGTCAATAAAGTTTGACAACATGATGATGGGATTGGCTTGAAATCACACCTTTTTGATCTTGTCTTGAATTTTCCCAATTTACTAACTCCTATAAAAAGAAAATACTGCACTGCCAAAAAAAAAGTAGCTTACAATGTAAAAAATGATGGTCAATAGAAGGCCTGATGCTCCTGCTGTGATGCACATATAGCTCAACGTGTACAATGGTTTAGACAAAGGGACACCTAAAATGGTCAAGCATAGGTCGCAACAATTGTAAGAGAAGTCTACTGGAACTCCTTAAAATACCATAATTGAAAACAAATATCAAAATTTCATTTCATTGCATTATTTTGGTCACCTTGAAAACAGAAACGTTTTAGAAATATTTCGAAAACATAAAAGAAACAAATAAAAATTCGAGAATTTATTTTCAAAACATTTTGAAATATTTGGTCAAAATATATTAAAATATCTTGAAACATCGACAATTTGAAACATTAGTGGAAATATGCCGAAACTTCTCAAACTTTTTGAAATATTTTGAAGTATTGAAATTTCGATTCAATCACTAATTTATTTTGGTTTCCTTGGAAACAGAAACTTTACGACCATTTCGAAACAAAAATTTGATCCTTGATTGCAAACCAAATGCTTACATAAAATAATATACCTAGGACATCCAAAACATATCCCAAGAGTAATAGGGGCAAGGAAGATAAAGACCACAATATCACCCTCTGCATGTGGTCCTGCAGCAAGGAATTAGAGATGAGATAGAGAAATTTTTAGCGAAGTTACAATCAATTACAAAATCATGCATCACGATATTGCATACCGACATATTTCCAGCATATTCGAAAGTGTATTGTATAAACTTGAGGNGTAGAGATGAGATAGAGAAATTTTTAGCGAAGTTACAATCAATTACAAAATCATGCATCACAATATTGCATACCGACATATTTCCAGCATATTCGAAAGTGTATTGTATAAACTTGAGGAACAATTTAAGTAATGAACCAGAAATGTTCTGAATCAATAAAAAGGCAGGTACGGACCTTATAATGCACAATAATATGTCCAAAATGCAATCCCATAAAACAAGTGATTGCAGCCATCAGTGAACTGGAAAAAAATTGTCCAAAATAATGAATCAATATCTGAACAGTTACCCTAAAACTGATAGTCACTAAGATTTAAAGGTATAACCTATGACCGTGTTTAGTGCAAAAAAGCAGTGTAGAAATTCTCGAAGAGCTGACTTAACAAGATATCAATTCACCAGAATGTTATCAAGCTCAATAAGAAAAGGCCATGAATTTTTGTTCTCCAAGGAGAACATCTATCCAATGTGCCACTTTTTGCCGAAGTACAGAATAATACCCAAAGACAAAATGGTCAGCAGCAGCAAGCACCACACGAAGGTTACATTTGCGCCTTGCTCCACAATGCCAGTAATATGCAGTAGCAAAGAAACCACTTTCTTTTAGTAGCTAGGTTGAGTTGGTTCCCATGGAAAATATATAAATATTACAAAGAGGAAAAAAAATCCATTTTTCAAGGTAAAATCATTTCCAAGAGGGGTATGGACAACTCTAGAACTTACTTTTCCTATTTTATGCTTATCTAATTTGGAGAAACAATGAATACAATGTACTTTTGGAACCATGATTTGTGTTATTTAAAAAAAAGAAAAATAGAAATAACAGGACTATATATGTAACCTTAAGATGCCCTCTGGGTCAAATGGAGCTAAGCACCACCCAGGTGAATTTGGGGGTAGAGGTCCATAATCAGGAGAATTAACACTGCATTCCTGGAAACATGAAAATATTAGATGCACAAAACAGCAAGGAACTCAAGATCCTAATGCAGGACAGACAGGTGTAAGCACAGAAGGCCAAGGGAAATCACCTTTGTTCTTCTGTACACAGGATGTTGGTAAAGATGTTGTTCACCAAGAAAAAACCGATCAATCAACCCAACTGCATTGCAAGGAGGTTCAAGATTACCCCTCACTCCACAGTGCACCTAGTAATTATGTGTCATGACATGAGGATTAGCTCTGTAACAAAACGGTAGAAAACATAATACAAACTGGCAGTTTAAGCTGAAAAGATTCAGGAGTAACATTCCACAGAGAGTAAATTATCTTCTAGCACAGGTTACAATAATTCAAGGAGTCCAATATCTGGGCGTCTGAATACCAGGTTCAGAGTTATGCCCCTAATGGTTTTCAATCAAAACGTGCACACATACATGTAGACCACATCAGTGAACTCTGAACCTGGTATTCAGACTTTCAGCTTACTGGACCCCTACACCTGCATGACTTCACGAAGCCTATGATCTCCACTCACTCGTTCAATTGAAAAAAGCTTTCTATCAAACACAATAATCATTATCAAACATGCTAATAAAGGCAAGTCTGAAGAAGGTTGGGATGCATTAATAAATGCAACCACAGTATAAGACGTTGGTCATAACACTCCACTCAACTCAAAGAAACAAACCTATTTCATAAAGCAGTGCCACAATCCATGGATGAGTTTAAGTAACCAAGAGCTATATAAAAGTAGAAAAAAGAGTGAGGAAGAGCCTCAGAGAAGCAATTCACTAATATACCAAAGCTAAAGAGCTTTGAAGTATCTTTCTAGGTAAAAAGGAGCATGTAGTAAAATGTAATGTACAATGCTGAATAAATATATTCAGCTCATATAAGAGGTGTGTCGCTAAAGACAACAAGAAACTACAAACTAAATAGAATTGAGATTTCAACAGATAGAATCTATATCTTCCCTCTTACCCTGAGATTGTAATATNAATGTAATGTACAATGCTGAATAAATATATTCAGCTCATATAAGAGGTGTGTCGCTAAAGACAACAAGAAACTTCAAACTAAATAGCATTGAGATTTCAACAGATAGAATCTATATCTTCCCTCTTACCCTGAGATTGTAATATTGCAACAGGGAGTCAACTTCCACACAGACACCCACCCTGATTTTCTAAACAATTAGCGTCTAATATGCTGTTGACCTCCAACCACAAGAGACTTGCATAGGAATTTTTCGGACAATAGACAACTAATTCCCAATTCCCCCATAGTCCATGTTGTTGCTCACAATGACCCACAGCTTGGAAGCTGCTCCATTCTCAAAACATCCAATTCATGAATTTGTAAAGACCCAAGACCTAACATTGGCAAGCAACTTAAGTTACAGCAGCATGGATGATCATTATCACATAGTTTGCTAAAAAAATCCTACAGTTGATACTTGTATGTTAAATTGGCTGTGCCCTTAAGTTTAATGCCAATCAAACACAATCTTGTCGGTATATGTTTTAGAAAACCTATATAGTCTAACTCACAATTTGAGTACCAGATCCATATCCAGATGCAAATGAGGTCAAGTTCATGCTCGTAACTTCAATCGCCCAGTCTGGAACATAAAGCCCATAAAGCAAGCACATATACAAAGAACCTAATAAGATAGCAACCACCCTGTATAGCAAGGAATGCACATGAGAATACAATAAGCAAAGAAAATTAAAAAAATATTGTTATGAATCTCATCATTCCATTTCACAAACAGTTGGAAACGAAAAGTAAATAGTCTTCACACCTGCAAAAGTTTCAGTATACGATGTCTCATCGACTAGACCAACTTTAGGAGTAAATATTTAATGTAACGGTAACACTATATCAATGCTAGAACTTGAAGTCACCAGCCAATAGGGAACAACCAAATAAAAAGAGTTAACCCCACTTCTTTACATGGGTAGTTATTATATTACATGGATAAAGTGAACACAACTTGTTGTTTTCTTATTGAATGGTGCACCTTGTGGCATCACCGTTACGTCTAATATTTTCCCCACNGACACTATATCAATGCTAGAACTTGAAGTCACCAGCCAATAGGGAACAACCAAATAAATAGAGTTAACCCCACTTCTTTACATGGGTAGTTATTATATTACATGGATAAAGTGAACACAACTTGTTGTTTTCTTATTGAATGGTGCACCTTGTGGCGTCACCGTTACGTCTAATATTTTCCCCACCTTTAGATTGTCACATATCTCCCTCAAATTTGGTACCTAAGTTCGGGCAATTGTCTGGCACATGATTTATCAAATGATGAAAAGGAGTTCAACATAATTGTGTACACCTAACGGCTTAAGAACATGTATCAATTGGTGAATACTTTCCAATTTGTAAGATATGTCATCTGCCCGTCTGCTTCGATTTCTAAAATTGAATATACAACTCACAAAAAAAAAAATCGTTTGGATTTGAGGCTCATGGCCTCAAAGAAAATTAAAATCACAANGCTAACGGCTTAAGAACATGTATCAATTGATGAATACTTTCCAATTTGTAAGATATGTCATCTGCCTGTCTGCTTCGATTTCTAAAATTGAATATACAACTCAAAAAAAAAATCGTTTGGATTTGAGGCTCATGGCCTCAAAGAAAATTAAAATCACAATGCATCCATCTGGTTTGAGTTCTGAAGTAATTTTTCATAGAAACTACTAAGCTTCTTCAACGCATTTTAGAAGGTTTACTAAACTCCAAATAAACCAAAGTTCTAGGCTGTAAAGTCAATTCCTGCTAAATGTAGCTCCAACAGGGATAGGAATTGGAAAATAGAGTATATACAATATTGTTGAAGCTTCCAATGAACAGGTTTCTTAATGTTAGTACACTTGGGGGCTAGGGTTGCATTGCTTGCCACTTTGATTGGCCCTCTCAGAGAGTATGTAATCATAAATGATAGGCCTTTTAGGGAGTATGAAATCACAAATGGTAAATCATACCACTGAATGACATATTTCTGTACAAATGTCACTGCCGAGTCAACTGCAACCTTATTAACAAGCCAGATCTCCAAAATCGAAACAAACAGATATCCAATAGAAATCCTCTGTAATTTATAAAAACACAGGTGAGAATGTAGTAGCAAGCAAGATAAAATAATGAAAACTCAATATCCAAATTCAATACTAGATGAGTCGCATAAGTACTATTCTTTTTCATTTCAAATTTGTCAACCATAGAACAAGAAGAATTCCTTAAGTTTATATTATAGAATAAAAGAACTATCCCCTGCCACTGGGGAAACCACCCCATTTACATTGATATCTCTCTTGCCATATTCACTGGATTATATACTATCAAATTCTGGCTTATCCATTTCTGTTTTATAAGTGAATGATACACAAACACATCAAACTGTGGGAGATGGGAGCAAGAAATAAAAACACAGGTAGCATGGTTCATATTTCGCTGATTAGTTGCCTTACGCAATCAAATTATATCTTGGGAATAGTTAACAATAGAACCAATTGAATGATAGGGTAATCTGAGGGTAAGATTCCTCTCACAAGGATATTTAATTAATATCTACTAGCATACTTGAACAGGTTTCTGGACAGCTGAGGCTAAAACACAGTACTATTACCCAAGTTCAACAAGAAGTGAACAAATGTTGAAGCATGCACTAATATTCTCTGGCCAATAACTAATCAGTCTAATCCCATCACTGAAAATATAGCATGAAAACCTAAAAGGACATATCACTTTGTTCTAAGTTGATAGCATAAAGTTCAGCCACTATAATGGTTAATCAGTTTGTAAAATTGTGATTGGGGAGTGCAAAGAAAAGGAATTCATCACTGAAACATCAAAATAATTGTACAAGCTCATGTGATGTTTTTTTGTTCACTTTGCAAGTGAACCAGTTCATGAAAAAATTTAACCATGTTCTCATCAAAAAAGAACAGATAAAAGTATTTTATCATGTCACTAATGCAGACAGTTGATGAAAGGTAGGAAGCCTGCAGTTTAGTTCATCTCCAGACCAGCTCCAGCCCTTGTAGCATGTCAGCTAAATACGTCATAAATGATAAATCTCTTACACTTTCATGTTCATCAATTTAGTTCCAACTTATCCAAATTAAAAAGGAGTCCAGTACAATCTTTTTGAACTCATTTCCCACTTCTACAATGTATCTACAATAAGTAGGTGAATGGAAACATTTCTTCAGATTTGGGGAAAGAAGATGCAAGAAATAAACATCAGGCATGCAAGTCTACACAATAAAGGTATGCAGCATGCTGCAAGGTTGGACAGCAGCCATAAAAAACAGAAGTTACTAAACAAACATACAGTAATGCTATCAGTTAGCAAACATCAAGTCAAACAAGAGCNAATGCAAGAAATAAACATCAGGCATGCAAGTTTACACAATAAAGGTATGCAGCATGCTGCAAGGTTGGACAGCAGCCATAAAAAACAGAAGGTACTAAACAAACATACAGTAATGCTATCAGTTAGCAAACATCAAGTCAAACAAGAGCACCAACATTGTGACAAGACATGTGAGTATCAGCAACCGCATGACAATCACAACAAGAGCTTGATTCAGGTTATTGACCTAATGGCTGCGGTACCTGGAGCACACCCATCCACCGTATCTGTCTGACATCAACCCCATAGCTTAAATGGTTGCGCCCATGGAAATACCCGCCTACAAATACATTTGAGGAACACTACTACATGATCATATCAGCCAACAAAGTTTTGAAATTCACTACTGGGTGTTCGATGTATATGAATGATGCGAATTGAAAAAGGAATAAAATGAGTATATCCTGTTTGCACTGCTCTTGAAATATAATTCAAGTCTTTCCTTTTTTCTAAAACTTAACTAATCATACATTGATCAAAGATGAATCAGTAGGCAGAGCATTAGAACTTCGTTTCCGCGAAACTTAATAGGGAGTTATTTCAAAATAGTGGCAAATTGGTAAGTCTATCTAGTCACCCTTAAGTACATTCCATGAGAAGTGTCTTGAGCTCATAAAGAGGTCCCATTTAAAGCCTTCTTATTAGGTGGTGAACAACATACCGTTCAGAACCAACCCCAAGAGGAAGAGCTTAACTGTTCTGACCATAACCTTTCTTATTGCTGCTGGTTTGCTGGATACTTTCTGCAACAGGAAACAAACTGTGACTCGTGACAACAGCTAAGTAAAAAGATACGAATTACCATATAGATTGATGCCATCTCTTGCTATGTTTTGATCTTTTAGTTTAAATTCTAGTCATTCAATGCTACTTAAAAAAATATGCTTGCAAAAGCAATAGCATGCAATTGCGCCTAGTGACTACCTTCTAATAATTGAGGTTATGTTGAGTAATACAACAGTACATACTTTGATAACCAGACTCACGGAAACACCAATAAATTGATACCTTGAATACCAAACTCACAGAAACACCAACACCAAAGAGGAAAAAAGGCATTACGAAGTCCGCAAGGGTCACGCCAAACCATGGAGAGTGGTTTATTGATGGAAAAGCCCCTCCGGCATCATCAACCAATATCATCAGCTGTCGAATAAACCAAACAAGATCAGAGTAGTGTAAGGAAAAGACAAAAAAGAAAAGAAGAAGTTCTCTATTGAAGACATTAATTCAAGACTCTACTACTTTGCCAAGGAACCTAAAGAAAAGNCTGGAAAAGCCCCTCCGGCATCATCAACCAATATCATCAGCTGTCGAATAAACCAAACAAGGTCAGAGTAGTGTAAGGAAAAGACAAAAAAGAAAAGAAGAAGTTATCTATTGAAGACATTAATTCAAGACTCTACTACTTTGCCAAGGAACCTAAAGAAAAGAAAGGGAAAGATCGCTAAAAATTTTTCACAAAGTCCGCGACCGCTAGAGAGTGGTTTGTTGAAGCAAAAAACCCCTCCGACATCATCAACCGATATCATCAGCTGTCAAAAACACTAAACACAACAACAGTAATGTTNTTTTTTTCACAAAGTCCGCGACCGCGATGGTCACATGTCATGCCAAACCATAGAGAGTGGTTTGTTGAAGCAAAAGACCCCTCCGACATCATCAACCGATATCATCAGCTGTCAAAAACACTAAACACAACAACAGTAATGTTAACGAAAAGACCAAAAAATAGCAGAGACAGATCAAAGAGAAGAACAAGCGCTCGAATGATGAACTTCGATGTAAGTTGGAATTAGAGGCAAGATTGAAGACTCTGCTAGATTAACAAGAAACCTACAGACAAGTAAGGATTTCCAAAAAGTATTTGTTCTCTTTGGACTGTAAAAAAAGAGAGATAAAATGCAAAAAGAGAATGAGAGCTTGAAATGCAAAACTAGTGAATCAAATTCTCAAAATTAAGAATCCAGTTAGAAGGAAATCAATTTCGGAGGTTGCGTACAGCGACAGTGAGGCCTCGAAAGACATCTAAAGATACAAGGCGTTGCTTGGGATCGGTAGGATTAGCTTTTGATTCATCCAACTCGTTCGGTGACGGTAAAGGAACAATCTCTTCTTCTCTAACGCCCGAGTCGCTGTGTGGAACTGGAGGTGATAAATCTTGTAGAAGAGGCGTTCGTACGCCTGTGTCTGTAACCACGACCAACGAAGACATTTTCCTTCTCCTCTTTCTCTCTCCTCTCGGTGATCTCGTCTCCGGTTTGAAGAGCAGCTACTACAGCGTTGATCTCGTCGATGGTATCCCCTCGGGTTGACTACCACCGCTTTATAAAGGGGAAGGAGGCTTTTCCGTAATAAAAGACGTTGAGTTGGGTATTTTAGTCATTTCGATTAGTTAGAAACTTGTTCCCCGCGGTTAATTATAGCAACGTCAGACTGTCTTAAAATTTAGACTCGGTGGCATGGTTGTTGATGGGTCAAAGTCATGTCATTAGTTTTAAAAAAATAAAAGAATTTATTTTTAAAGAAAGATGAGATGACTTGGACGATCATCTCCCTTCGTCTTCTCCCATCTCTTTTACGGTTTCACCAAACCAAACACCGCCCGTTAGCTATAGGATTTCTTTTTCTGCTTCTCCCTACGCCAAAACTTACCCACCAGAAACCAACCTAATTAAGTTTTCACAAGGAACTAAGATAGGAAAGTCACAAAAGAACATCAAAGACCTCACCCAAAAGCCTTATTGCTGCAGCTAGGGTTCTACCCTCACCCAAGAACCACAACAATCAATTTGGCTTCGGATGTGGTGAAACAATCGACTATTCAATTTCTTTTTAAACAAAAAGGTCTTCAGCATAGGGGTGAAACAATCGGCTGTTGTCATCAACCAGTTCGGCTTCAAACGTGGCTATGGAAAAAACCCGATTTATTGGGTTCAATTTTTTTTTAAATAGAAAGAGGATAGGGAGGAGTTGATAAAGAAATCCTATGGCTGGCCAACGGTGTTTGGTTTAGTGAAAAGGAAGGGAGAAGAAGAGAAAAGAGGGAAGAAGGAAGAAAGAAGATGATCGGCCAAGTCATCTGATCTTTCTTTAAAAATAGAATTTTTGAAACTGATGACATGGCTGGTACACATCAACAGTCACATCATCAAGTCTATATTTTAAGTTTAAATTTTAAATCTGTATAGTATTACTCTACCTTTTGTCCCCAAAGTATGACCTTTTTTCCACGTAGATTCTTACTCCTTTTATAGAGTTGGGTATTTTTACAACAATGTTATGTTATGCTTAACAAAAGATTTTTTGTTTAGATTTTCACTTTAAGTGACGTCGTACAATTTTTATCATTAAATAAGTGAGTTTTATTAATATTTAATAATAAAAATTATAACACATTCATTGAAATACAAAATTTCATAAAAAATTTGATAAATATAACATTATTATTATATTTTTTTTGTTCAATTACGAATCTAATAATTGGTTGATGATTGTACTCAGTTCAATTGAATGATTCGAATGTGTAAGGCGTGAATGATTTATATTTGATAGAATCAAAAAAAATAATTAATTAAAAGGTGTACAAATTAGTCTAAATACACTGACCAGTGAAATAAAATTGAATGTTTAATACCTAATAATCTACATTATATATTGAATGGGTCGCCCTGATCTACTCATGACGGTGAGTAAGAGGCATTAATTGGAAATAAAAAATATGGTTAATTGCAAATTGCATTATGCAAATCGTTTAAATTTTAATTTGTAATCATAAAGATAAAAAAATTTCAATTTGTACCCTCAAAGATAAAAATTTATGTCAATTTGTACCCCTAAAGATCAAAAATTTCAATTTACATCTTCAAATATAGAAATTTGTATCAATGTGTACTCCTAAAGATAAAAAAAATCTCAATTTGTACCCTCAAAAATAGAAATTTGTATCAATGTGCACCTAAAATTAAATTGATAAATTATACCTAGATTCTCTTATGTTTGTCATTTAATCATTTGGACCCCTTTACATTTAGAATATTACTCATACATTTCATGACGTTTGCGCACGTGTAACACATAATCCTTTTTCGTTAATATCTATTGATATAACCGTTAAAAAATATGATTTTATTCTAATAAAAAATTATAATTTCATATTACACTTTATTTTATGGGTCCAAAATATTCTAAAGTTCAAAATTAAGTTTACCATTTGAATGTCTAATAGAATAAAAGGTTGCACATTGAGTGATATATTGCATTAGATATAAAAAATATTATATAAATATCTACATTCTATTGGACATTAAAATGGTAAGTTTGATTTTGAACTTTAGAGTATATCGAACCCACAAAATAAAGGATAATATAAAATTATAATTTTTATTAAGATAAAATCATATTTTTTAACGGTTATATGAATAGATATTAACGAAAAAGAGTTATGTGTTACACGTGCACAAACATCATGAGATGTAGGAGTAATATTCAAAATGTGAAGGGGTCCAAATGATTAAGTGACAAACATGAGGGGATCTAGGTATAATTTATCAATTTAGTTTTAGGTGCACATTAATACAAATTTCTATCTTTGAGGGTGCAAATTGAGGTTTTCTATCTTTGGAGATCTAAATTGAGATTCGAACTATCTTTCAGGGTACAACTTGCAATTAAACCTAAAAAATAATTCTTTTATAATTTTGTCCTTAAAATTAAGAATTAAAATTTTAATTCGAAACAATTGAAAATGACGAAACATTTTCATTTTAAGGAGATCAAAACAAATCAATGATGAAATCGAAATTCTAATTCTTCAAAGTTTTTCATGATGATTCGAGATATTTTGTAATGTTTTGACACATTTATACAATTGTTCAAGAATGTTTTAAGATGTTTTAGTATATTTCGACTAATATTTAAAAAATATATTTTTTATTTTTTTTATACATTTAATTTTATATTTTAAATATATCAAAATATTTCTATTTTCTAAATAATCGAAACAAATTTTTGATGATTACTTAAGAGATACACTTTGTTACTTGTGATTTTTTTGTATTTCCTGAACTTTTTAGCTACCTTCACTTTTATCTATCAACTTTGGACACCATCTCAAGTTAATGTCCCCGTACCAAATAAAACTAAATCAAACAAAGCCAAGTACTGTCACTACAAAAATCAAGCAAAACCTAGTAATGGCAATAAGGCAAAACCCAATAATGCCAACTTAGATATACCCATTATATCTTCGGCTATCATTGTTATTATCACCACCACTATATTATATGAACACTCTGCACCTTCACGCATGCAATCAAATCAAAATCCCTGTTAACATTAAATCTNTATTATATGAACACTCTACACCTTCACGCATGCAATCAAATCAAAATCCCTGTTAACATTAAATCTCAAAATAAAAATTAAAAACCCACACTTGAGAAATTAATAACTTATTGCCACTGGTAGAAATACGACTTTAGGTAAAAATATGAATTTTAAAGACTTTAGGTAGAAATATGAATTTTTATATAATAATACTTCTTACTTAAATTTGAGTAAAAAATTGGGGGTATGATTGAAAATTATATTAGAGCTGTTGGCATCTCATCATTCACAGGACATCAACAAAGGCGGTTAGGGCGGTTAAACAAGTCAAGCATGAAAATTTTTTAAAGCTCGTTTATGTGTAAATTCAACTTGATTAACACCCCTAAAAAAAGTAAAGGAGATGGAATGGAAGCATATTCCTTGCGAAATAGGCAATCACCGCCCAGCTAATAAGCACATACGTTGACCGGGCACGACTTCTCTGTTGTTGAAAACTAACAGCACACGGTGCTGTTTAATGCAAAGACACCGTCTTTTGCTTAGACCCAACAACTCATTCCTCTCATTCTCTTGCACAGTGTCGTTTGAGATTTCATTTTTTTATCAGCCAAATCCCAAAAAAATATGTTATGTTGTTTTCTCCAAAAGGCCAGTTGTTCCCTTATTATTGTATATATTATATTGTACTTGTTACATAAAAATTTATTGAACACTAATGAATTATTTTACAATGATATATATTTTTCTATATCTAATCGAATAATGAATCATTTATTGATATTTATTCCAATTTGAGTTATAAATCACCTATGGATATTGATTCCGCTATCATATTTGCTTTTAACTTATTTAACAACAACGTGTAAGTTATGAAAAAATAAAAATAATAAGTCATACATATATAACGACGATAAGTGGTAAAAAAAATATAATTTTAGTAATTTAAAATAATTTCACTTTTAAATTAAGAGTGTAAAATAAAAAAAAATCATAAATATCTAATCAACATTAATTGAACAAAGTCCATAAACTATAAAATTGATCAAAACCAATCATAACTCATACTCTCATAAAATACAATCAAAATAAAAATAATAGGCAAACACCACAAGATATATTTAAATAATATTCATATTATGTATCTTCATTTATATAAAAAAAATTAGGGTGAACTCGTGCTCACCTAAGCCCGTTACCAAATCTGCTCGTGCATGTTATTTTTGGTAAAGGGTTAAGGAAGGCATGAGTTTACTAATTCTCTGTTTTACTCATGTCAAAAGTAGACATGATTTGAAGACGGAATTTCTCCATAACTGCTGTTTTAAGCTGCTCAGAGTTTAAATGAAAATTTTCTTTTTTAATTAGTTATTTAAGAACTTTAACATGATTTAAATTAGTTCCAATATTTATATTGGTAATATGAACAACTGCTGTAGAGGTTGAAACTTTATCAGTTGAAGATTTATCTTCTTCTTTATCCATGTCTTTAAGACATTTCGCTATGATTTTGCATTTAGACTCAAGCGGGTAATTTTTTCAAAAACGGACTTGATATTCCCTAATTTGTCTAGGATCATTAACATCATAAGGATATATCCTTTTAATAAAATTATTGAAAAATGAAAAATTAAGCTCCATATATGGAGACAAAGTCAACGATCTACGTATAGAAAGAGATATATCTCAAAACAACTTTTCTTTATTGTCAACTTTATCTGACAAGGATGTAACAACTTTAAGTTGTTTTGACGGATTAGCATCAATATCATCTTTATGTGATAATTTATTTATAGAGAGTGAAGGATAATAAGTATTTTTATATGCATTGAAATAAAATGCATCTTTATATGAATTAAAATAATATGCACTTTTATATGCATAACA